GCCCCCTGTAAATTTAAACCATCCTGGCTGAGGAATTCTGGGAGTTGAAGTCCCCAAGTCACAAAAGGGCCCAGGTTGAAGCCCCCTGTAAATTTAAAGCTTCCCGGCTGAGGAATTCTGGGAGTTGAAGTCCCCCAAGTCACAAAAGGGCCCAGGTTGAAGCCCCCTGTAAATTTAAACCATCCTGGCTGAGGAATTCTGGGAGTTGAAGTCCCCCAAGTCTCACAAGAAGGCCCAGTTTGAAGCCCCCTGTAAATTTAAACCATCCTGGCTGAGGAATTCTGGGAGTTGAAGTCCCCCCAGTTCTGGGAGTTGAAGTCCCCCCAGTTTGAAGCCCCCTGTAAATTAAAAGCCTCCCGGCTGAGGAATTCTGGGAATTGAAGTCCCACAAGTCACAAAAGGGCCCAGTTTGAAACCCCCTGTAAATTTAAAGCATCCCGGCTGAGGAATTCTGGGAGTTGAAGTCCCACAAGTCACAAAAGGTCTACAAGGTCTAACTCGAGCACACGCACACAAACCAGGATGGGGTGTTGACTAACTTGCATTCCGTTCTCTGTTTCTGCCCCCCCGCTCTCTTCTCCCCCCCCCCAATCCAGATGTTGCCTTGGGACCGAGCTGTCCTCCCGCCTCCTCCGGGGCTCTTCTGGACCCTCCCCAAGCCGGGATGCGAGACGGCGTCGCGCCGCCAGGCGCCCGAGGTTTCCCTGTGGACGGTGCTGGCGGCCCTGCAGGCGGTGGAGAGGAAGGTGGACGTTCACACGGGACAGCTCCGGAGGCTGGAACGGCGGGCCGACCTGGCCGAGCGGAAGATCTCCGGGACGGAGAAGAGCGTGACCGACTTCGGCCCTCACCTGGACGCCCTGGGGAGGCTGATCCAGGCCTACGGGCAGCTGCACAAGAGGCTGGACCACATGGAGGAGCTGCTGAAGAACTACAGCTGCTGGGTGCTCAACTTCCCGCCCGGCGCCCGAGGAGAGGCCTCCCAGGTCGGAAGACGGAGACCTCGGCCCCGATCCTGGCTTGATCTGGGCTTGGATTAGGCTCAGTGGGGCTGGGTGGGGAGCTAGAGGGAGGTTTCGAACTCGGTCCTCGCACGAGGCCGGATATGAACCGGGTACTTCCTAGCCCGGGGTTCAGGCATC